AGGCTATCCTTATTCGATTTCAAGTTAAGTCAATTTAAGTACTCCTGTCAACCAACCTTTCTTCGAAGTGGAAAGTTGGATCAGATTTAAGGATTAATTGTGGAGTCTCTCCCACATCGTTATGGTAACAACAACACTTACCATATGTGCCTCACGGCTACTAACTTCCTATTTATAGATTATTGATAGTCTAGGAAAGTACTCTCATCAAAAATGTTATAGCTTGCATTTTTCTCTTAGTTTGCTTCTTTGGAGAAGATTGGAAACCATTAAGAGGAACTGATTATCCTCCATAGGCAAGCCACCAAGTGTATACGCTTTTATACGCCATTAAATACAATAAAATTTAATATACCCGGTAAGTATGGTTCGAACCTATCGGTCGATCTTTTATAACAACTTTGAGTGGAATCCAATCATCATTCCTGAATCAGCTAAGGATATATAGAATGGCCAATATAGCTACTGATAGCTTCTAAGTATGGCCACTTTATTTACAAACGAGAAGGATTTAAGAAATGTTCTCATGGCCATTCACTTGTATTGAGTATACGCGGCTGAAGTGGATGAGAATACTTTTTGGGAAACAAGGCTACGTAAAGTTCAATGGAAACGTAAGGCCTACTCATATAATTGTGAGAAAATTCAACTATCATTCCTTCATTATCTTAAACGAGATAAGTGGATTTGACAAAAGAACAACTTGTACAGTAGAGGCAAGATTGAGTTTCATGCAGTTCTCGGGCTGGTCACTTGCCTGAGTAATGGGCTAACTTACTTGATAGCCAATCAGACGATACCAGTCCACGGATGAAGTTGTCAGGTTGGACAAGCGCCAGTGGCATTCGACCTGTTCTACTGTTTCGCCGTTTGAAGTAAGCTGGAAGTTCTTGCAGACGAGCCCGAACTCAAAGCCAGCTGTCGATCTAACCTTGACCGAGCTGGCAATGACCTCGTTTCTGGAAATCCAATCCCAATTTGAGAAGGCCCGAAAAGAGGGGACCATGGTCGAGTTACCGAACTTGAGGTCCTGACCCCCGAAACCATCTACTTTTCCGTCTTTGTCACCGTCACGGTGGACGAGATCCTGATCGGTAAATGTGGGTACCAGTTGTTGAGATGGCGGGGGTCGAACCAGTTGTTGGGGCTGCAGGAAAAGTGGTTGGGAGACCGGGCCCTCACCCCAGTTATGCATAGCTGCCACATTCACTTGTAGACAGCACCAGCTGCCTGGCGGTGGCAAGATCAACCGAGTTTGTAGCCAGTACTCGGACACCGACACCTCCAAATGGGCCAGAAGCTCAGGTTGGTAAACATGCCGATCGTCTGGTATTTTACTGGCGTCAATGAAAAGGACCCACTCAGACGGCCTAATATGATCTGGAGGTGATGGTGGCCAGAATCGGAAAGTCAGGCGGTAGAGGAGTTCAGAATCGAGAGGTGCATTCCAGGCTTCGTCTGGTATGGCCTGGTTTCAGAGGAAGATATTGAAGGTAGAGGAAAAAGTAAAAAAAATAAGATCGGCCATAGTTGAGATAAAAAATAATGTTGATCAGGATGAGTAAGTACTACAAAATGACAATGACTTATGGCCGCTTTTGTGTACAAACGTTAACATACATACGCACACGCGCACTCGATTATAAGTAAATTAACCAAATCTTTCTATATCCATATATATCTCATTTGTTCTCATATGTGTAAGAGTCGACCAGTCTTCTTGACTTTGTATTAACTTGAGACTTTTTCAAGAATGAGTCCCAACTATGACGATGTTCGTCATATGACGAACGAAAGCATAACCCGTCTTCATTAGAAACGATGGAAGATGCCTCTTGGATTGCATCAGCTTCAACGTCATATTAAAGCCAAACGGCAGAGGTACAACGGTAATCAGCCGATCCACGAATCTCTTCATCATGCACTTTTATACGAAATGAAAGTCTTCATAACAAAATGACCACTGACTGATGAGGCAAGCGGATCCCACTAAAATATCTCCAGGAAAAGTAAAATGAAGTGAGCGCATGAAATAAGCAAGGCTGTTTGTCCGCTGAACCTAAGCAAACGAAAAGTTAATAATGTACGAAACCTTTAGAAGTGGGTTGACCTCGTTGTCGCAACTTGGTCTTGTTGTCATGGCGACTTAGTAGAACGTACCTAGTCTGAAGTCGTCTGCCATAGTAGTTGTCATAATTCCCAGCATTAGACTGTGGATTTGATACATTCTCAAACGTTTCGCCAGCATCGTAGTTGGTATCATTAGTGACTTTTGCCATTCTCCGCACCAACCTACGAACTCGTCAAAGAGACAAGTGAAATCAATACCTTGACAAACGTTCTGCCAACCCACGATATCAACCCACTTCTATGAATAGAAAGGAGACTGCGACCATACCAGAGGCCACACCATCTTGGTCTTCATATCTTTAATTACGAAACCTTTAGCTTAAAGACTTCTCGAATAAACATAAATGTAAGTAGGAAGATTTAGAGGAACGCACCTAGTCCGCAGTCCATTGTATGCATGATCATTTCCAAAGTCGGACCATGGACGTGGTACATTCCCAGACGTGTCGCCGGCATCGTCAGTGAATCTCGCCATTCGTAGCACCACATAACAACTCGTCAAAGAGACAAGTGAAGCCCATTCTTTGAAAAAACGTCTGCTAAACAATTGTGGTATCTCCTTTCTACCATAGCCTATTACCAATTCTTATATCCTCCTATAACGCTTTCACATTTTCAATTTTTACCGTGCTTATTTCGATGTAGTGTAATGTGCTCCTTTGAACGGCATTCATGAAAACCCTTCACACTCCACATTGGATGATTGCTGTACATCTTCGTGGCTGCTGGATGGGA